CGTACGTACGTACGTACGTACGTACGTACGTACGTACGTACGTACGTACGTACGTACGTACGTACGTACGTCGTCGTACGTGTCGTCGTACGTCGTCGTGTGTGTGTGTGTGTGTGTGTGTGTGTGTGTGTGTGTGTGTGTGTGTGTGTGTGTGTGTGTGTGTGTGTGTGTGTGTGTGTGTGTGTGTGTGTGTGTGTGTGTGTGTGTGTGTGTGTGTGTGTGTGTGTGTGTGTGGTTTACAGTCAGCATGTGTGAGTATTCTGTGCACGGGTTTAATAAACTCACAGGTCCATGGAGCACCATCTGCCTGCACAATGTTTGATGGAGCAGGAGCTGGTTGTGAGGGACACCCCTGTCACACACTATGTGGGACAAACTATTGACAGAAACACCTGTTTATTGTCTCACCCTTTCCACTATCTCCCCTGGAGCAGCTGTTTGAATGCATGGAGTTTACGACAGGAGGCTACACAAACCTCTCAGCCGGTCATTGCTTTCGTATAAAAAGTTGCTTGTAAATAAAAACAGACAGTTAAGAGCATTCAAATGGGTTCCTGTTTTTAGTTGAAGGGGTTTTATGCAAGCTTGTTTCCTGGCACACTGAGTTATATATTATGTAAATAGTGTGTTCAGGCATCACCCTATTTCCATTTATAGAGGTCCACTCAAATGAAATGAATAGTGAGCTTTCAGGGGTTAAAAACCCATTTATTTTCTGAATGAAGGATTTTAGCCATAATGACGTGACCACAAATAAGTTAGACCACACATTTTTTATTATAGAATAATGCTATATGCTCCTCTTGAAGCCCAAAGTATGTTGATATTAACCTTGTTTTTAGAATAATGGGTGGTTGCTATCTCATTATTTACAACACTATCCACAACCCTAAAGTGTAACAGTAACATCTCTGATTGGTGGAACTCGCTGTTGTCAGAGCTGGCGACCCATGTACTGGGGCTAGGTCCCAATGCGGAGGACCTGGGTTTAATTCTGATCTGGCACCGTTTGGCTCTCCTCTGTCTTCCCTTTTCAACATTGTCACCTAAATTAAGGCACTGGTCGCCAAAATCCTTACAAAATAAAATAAATGTAAACCACACAAACAGCCAGTAAAGGTGTGTCTGCGTATTGGTTAGCTCCCTAAATACAACCAGATAAATATGGCAACTCTCTTATATTACAACAAAATGTTTTGAAGCGACTAGTAAATAATCAGCAACAGTTCAATTAAAAGTGTATCGATAGTATTCAGATGCGATCACCATTGGCTATGTATATGGGTTGTGAAGTTCCCTCAATCTTAAAGTGTGTACTGTTAGTAAATATCATAGTTTTTGGCTTAGTTCACTTCTAAACGCTTACTACCAGTATTTTCTGAAACTTCAATAAGGGGAAAATTGACTTCCAGATAAATTGAAAAAGTTGGCAATCACTGTTCAGCTCTTTCCTGTTTTCTAATGGGAGTTTCTGACCCTAAGTGTCCTGGCCTCAATATGTCTATATTCAGTGAATAGTTAATCACTTTGTCAAACTTCTAGGTGATGGGATAATTAAAAGGAGCCTCAAGGTGTCTAGCCATTGATCGTTTGATCTCCCCCTGCCTGCCTCAGATGAAATTGATTAGAGCACTATCTATGATAGGGATGAAGTACAACACACACACACACACACACACACACACACACACACACACACACACACACACACACTCTCTCACACACAGACACACGCACACACTCTCTCACACACACACACACACACACACACACACACACACACACACACACACACACACACACAATGAAAAAAAAACAATGAAATCCCAAATATACATTCCTAGGACTATTTTACTACTATTGCCATTGCTTAAATCAACATGTGATATGCTGTTAAAATGACCTAGCTTTATCTAGCTAAGAAAACACTAACAAGGAGCTTGTGTAATGTAATTACGCTGTACAATAGGCTCAGCTAGAACAGTACCTTAGTGGTCATCAGTTGGCCCATAAATGGCCTCCTATAGGCTTTTTAGTGTGTTAAACAAGGGGCTGATGAAAAGCCTGTCCTTTTTCCTATTCCTATTGTTATATTTAATGTGCAATAAGTTGCTTTAATGATTTCAGGCTTGTTGCATTTGATATAAAACAGGTAGCCTGCATTTCTTTCCTTTTTGTGTGAATTCCACTTTGGTTTTTACTCCTCAGATTTTTGCATCATGAGTTAATAAAAAGAGTATACATGCATTCAGAGGTGAATCTCAAACACACGAGAGAGCTCCAGCAGCATTTTCAGTGAAACAAATGGATGACATGTATTAAGCATGTGACAGTTAACACCCCCAGTAGGGAGACAAATAAATGTTGTTTTTACCAGCCCCTACCTCCTGTTATTTATACGCCACAGTCAACATTTCTATTAGGCATGAATTATGGCAACACATGATTATCCCTGCTATGATCATTATAAATACCTTCCCCCTCGCTGTATGTATGAGCAATATGTATCCAATTGTTGTATAGATTACAAATGCTGGCTGGCCGGTAAATGAATTACATATCTAATTTGAGCTCCAGGAAAGCTACGTTGTAAACAAGCCCAGATCCCTCTCCCTGGCTTGTGTAGGAAAGTAGAATAATTATACCTAATTTATGTTGTAAGCCTGGATAATATGGGTTCAGTTTGGGTTTTATTTAACCTTTTTCCTTCATTTTCAACAACAAAAACGACTGAAATTAGGTGTAAAGATTCAAAGGCAATAGAGTATCTTAGTCCCTGAATGATCGCTATGATTTTAATGCAGAGAAAAATAATTTGTCTTTTCATGCAAGGCCTGAAAGTCTTGATCTTTAATGCTCCAAAGAATAGTGGAAACTGTGTGTGAAAATCCGCCCTAAGCCACACGGGAATGTTTAAAATGGATGAGAATAAATCGTGCGATGTATGCTTATACTTTGATCCTGTACTGCATGGCTGTAGGGACCTTTTTTCTCTTTCTTTCAACCAGACTATATTATATGTATGAATTTCTAAATGTGGTTTCCTGACCTTTTCCCTAGAGATGTCAAGAGTGTTTACTGGAGCTTTTAACACTGCTATGTGAGCATGAAGGTGCATATTTGCATGATGTTTTTTTGCCCTTATCCAGTCAATTTGATGGTAGATTCCAGCCTCTAGTGGGCTATTAAAAGAGCTTTCAAGCTTTGTCAAAGGCTCTTACAGTAATGTAAAACATGGCGATAAGTGTTAGCTTGTGCTTAAGTTGGATTAATTTAATCACTCACGTGGCTAATCATTCATCTCGTAATGATTTTTAATGATTCAACTCTTAAATAGATTATCTGAAGATTACCACTGCATAATTGTGTGTGCATGTGTATATGTGTGTGTGCCCCATTTCTGATGCGGAAACAATAACTGTAAAACCTTAATATGGTCTTTTTATTCTGTCAGTAAAATCCCTCTTTTTTTCTCTAAAGTTTTCCATTTTCCATTATTCTCCTTATTTATATCGCTCCATGATTAACAACACTTTCTTGATTTACTTTTTCTTCCGTTCAGGTCAAGGTCATTCTCCCTCGTTTAACCCTGAATCACTGTGTGTTTCTTTTCCAGACCCTGCCGACCACAACATATGAGTTAGAGATTGTGGCCAAGGACATGGCAGGAAGTGAGGTGGGACTAACAGGAACCGCCACGGCAACCATCACCATTACTGACAAGAACGACCATGCCCCTGAGTTCACACATACGCTGGTAAGAAATATTCTTCTTTTGATATCCGTCTTTCTTTTGAGCTGTGGATTCTCTTTTTGTTTCGTTTGAGTTTGTTTAGCCAGTTCAGAGGTCAGGGTGAGTGAGAGCTGATGATTAAACTTAATTGTTTTTAAAGACAGAGTTCACATCAAAAGGGCAGAAGCTGGTCAATAGCCATTATAAAACAAGGTCTCCTGGTAGAGGAATGACTTTCTTACATTTCACTTTATTTTTTATTGAGGCATGTGGTGAGCTCTGTTCTTTGTTACTCAGGCGGGTGAGGGTTAGGGTTACTACTAGCATTCAAAAAAGAATTAGAGAATATGACATTATAGGGACTGTTATTACTGTGCAGAATACGAGCACATTGCTCTGGTCCACTCAGATTGTGCATTATCCTTGGTCCTTGGAGGCACCCTTACATTACGATCACTATCCGAACAGACAAAATATCACATATTGTGATCATGTTCAGGTTCATACTGTGCAAGAAGTGTTTCATTTTTTACAACAGAAGGTTATGATGAGTCATAACAACAACAAATTAGATGCTTTTGGTGTTAATGAGTGAGTAAGGGCAGTATTTCTGTTAAAAAGAGACTCAGATGTGTGGGTATAATGTGGTTCTGTTGTAGTACAGAGGGAATTATTGCTGTTCACTTATTTCTGAATGTATCAGAACATTAGGTAAAAACAGAGGAACTGTAAATATTGCATTACTAGAAACCAATACAAAGAGCAAAGTGAAATGCTAGCAGAAGGTCATCCGAGCCACGCTCAGTTGCCCCCACACATTCACCCACTCACAAATTATTTAACTCAACGTGACCTTGTATTACTCTCCTTGTTTTGTAAAGGTAAAGCTCAGATCACATGGTGGGCAAAGAACATATGTGACATGTCATAGCACATCACTGTAACTGGGTTGAATGGGTGCAGAGGCAAGATAAGGGGATCTGTGAGCAGGAGTGGGAGTAGTGGTTCAGGGATGGTTTGTTTAGTCAGCATTGCCTCAAGGCATTAGTGTAAAGCTAACAGTCTAAACCAGTGCCTGGCAGTCACGCTGTAAAATAAAACCAACATGTACACATTTCTAAAAAGCACACAATTTCAACTGTTGGCCATTTGTGCCACCTCATTATATATTTGTCAAAAGTTGATGCAATGGCTGTTTTCTTTCCCTCTTCATCCCTCCTTCTGACCTCTGGAGGTAAAAGAGAAAAACGGTCTACGAGGTCCGGTAGAAAAAGAACCTCCATGCGCCTCTCGGTGCGGTGACTTTTGTTGTTCTTAATGGAAACGCCCGCAGTTGTTGTCATGTTTTAAGACACATCACACATTACCCCAACCAAAACCTCCCCTACAGGCGTCCCATGATGCATTGGGGTGACAGGGGAGCTTGTAAGGAACGCAGCTCAGATGTGAAATGTTACAGCTCAGAGGGTTTCGGCAGGGCCGCGGAGAGTGCACCATGTCCGTGTCCTAGTTAATGTTCTCATTTCTCACTGGGAAGAGATCCGTTTATCAGCGTGGAGAAATTGAGCTTTTTAAAAACAAGTGTTTGAAGGCGCTAAGCTCCCTTTATAAATCCTCTACCCTCCATTCTCCCTGACCGCTCCCCACCTGCCCATGAATCATCTCTGACCTCCCAGATGACCGCCATCATGTTGTGAGTGTGTTTGCGAGTGCTCTGGGTTTGTGTCAGCAGGCTCTCAAGCTTTCACCGCATCAATTATTCAACTAAATATATATATATGTATTTTCAAAGAACTTTCCAAAAGCCCCTACTCTTGTGTTGTCTTTTTCTGACGACTTGTGAGCTTTGAGTCTGTGTGCAGAACTCTACCAGAGAAAGATAGAGAAGGATGAGTGCAAAGAGTCCAACCTAGATACAGAGAGAAAGATGAAACCAAGCAAACAAATGTACAGGAGAAGGGTTCCTTCCTGTTATTATTCATTAAATCGAGTCTTGATGTTTTTTTTTCAAGTTGACTTTTTGTTTGAATTCAGCAAACATAATCCCCACGTAGCGCGCCTCAGTATTTTCTCAGACCTACCTAGCCAACCCAGTCTCACGGCATTTCGTGTTCACCAACACGATTTTTAATCTATTGATTCGTGTTCACCAACACGATTTTCCCCTTTTTTTCGTGTTGCACAGCACGATTTTAAAAGCAATGTATTTCTATTGGTAGTCTCACGACATTACGTGTTATAGGAAGACCGGAAGCTGTGTGGTTCATAAAAGCATGTTCTTACTCAATATCAAGCCACAATTATTGCTTTTATTTTAAATCGTATAATTTCGGACTTTTGTTGCCGTCTTTGAGGAAAATAAATGGGGCTGAGAGCCTCAGGATACTGAAATCTGTATATATTTAAATCTTTTTTTCCTTCTAATTTGTTATTATTTTCAAAATAACACACTGTTATTTACTCACCAATAACACACAATTATCCTTGTTTTTATTTATTTGTTTAATTCCATAATCTCTGGGTTTTTTGGCGTCCGTCAGGAACTGAATTTCAAAATAAAAATAACCGGAAACAGATGTACGCATTTCGAGTTCAGGATGGCCGAAGACACTACACTACCCATAATACCCA